CTTAGTGCACTAATGATGGGAATAAGTGTAGGTTCTAAATTTAACAGAGATTGAGCTCAATCGGGTGGACTTGCGAGTTGGGCTGTCTGGTGGATTATATTTCATGGATGGATCTCCTCAAGCAGTGCGACAGTTGCGTGACCTCAATTCTCAGGTTAAATCTTTATGTTTACCATCTCTTCATGTATTGGTTTCATGCATTTCCCCTATTATTGATGCTTTTTATTCTGGTAACATCTGATCTCAAAAGCAGAAAAAACTGCTTGTTATTAATTAAAAAGGTTAACACTCAACAGAACAAGATATAATGATTCATTATATCTTGTTCTGTTGAGTGTTAACCTTTGGTCTTAGCAACTTGCAAACTACTTACTTTCAAGCCCTCTACTCCATCTTAATTTCTGACTTAATTTAGATTTCATTTGATCCTTCTACTGTAAAATCTGATGAATCTATTTTCTTAAACTATTAATTATTAAAGAATATTGATAACCTTAACGCAGTTTGATGTGCATGCTTACAGGAACCAGTGCTGTGTAGTGTAACAGTGGGTGTTTCCCATTTTGAGAGATGTGCTCTTTGGGTTCAAGTCCTGTACTACCCCTTCTTTGGTAATGATGTCCCTGCAGAATATGAAGGGGAGTACTCTGGAGAGGATCCACAAATCATTAGGCAAAAGAGAAGCCTGAAGGAATTAGGAGAACCTGTGATTCTGAGATGCCAACCATACAAAATTCCCCTAACTGAGCTTCTGTTGCCGCATAAAATTTCACCTGTTGAATATTTCCGCTTGTGGCCTAGTTTACCTGCCATTGTGGAGTATACTGGTGCTTATACATATGAAGGAAGTGGATTCAAGGCTACTGCCGCACAGCAATATGGAGCATCTCCCTTTTTAAGCGGCTTAAAATCTCTGTCTTCCAAACCTTTCCATCGAGTTTGCTCACACATCATTCGAACAGTTGCTGGATTTCAGGTGAAACTTCTGATTAGTGCTGAATGGTTTTATCTGTCTCTGATTTCTAAGCCACCAGTCAACTTTTAGACCATCTTTTACTGACTGTTTTCAATTTAATGGATTTATTTAGGTAGCTGAATTTAAAATTAGGTCCAATAGTGTCAAATACCCTAACCTTTTACGGAGTATAAAATTTGCAACTCTCCAATATTTTTAATTTTACCTACTAAATCTAAACTTTTCAAATTAGAATCAGATTTATCATATCTTTCTTTTTGATAAAACCTTGAGCTGATTTTTGCTGACATGGTTGTGTTTGCCCTACTTATGATAATTTGTAGTTTTTGGTCCTTTTAATGATTGCCAATATTGCAACTGTGCCAAAAAAAATCATTCTTAATTTTGGCCTAAAAGATAGACTGGATAAATTTGATTCTAATTTGGAATTTTTGATAGAAAACAAATTAAAAGAACTAGTTAAAATTGCAAATTTCGCAAAAAGGTTTGAAAATTATATCAAACTGCGCCCCACTATCTCCAAAAATTTAAGTGAATGCCATGATAATAAAGTTAACTCAATTGTTCTTTTCTCCAAAAAAATAAAAAGCAAATTTGGTGGCTTTACACTATAGATTTGTTCTTTTAATTCTTCTTTTGGAAGTTTTGGAGGTTTTTTTTTTTTTTTTTTTCCTGGTAGGTGGCTGAGTAGGCTGGGAATTTTAGGTTGGGAGATAGGGTATGGGGTACACAAAAGTATATGCATCTTGTTTACAATTCTATAAGTGGTAAAAGTAACAAGTCTTTAGAACTACTGAAGGATCTTTTTATTCAGCAGCAGTGCTTCTAAGCTTATATATTTTCTTTTCTGGCTCTTAATAGCTCTGTTTTGCGGCCAAAACTTGGTATGGAGGCTTTGTTGGTATGATGATATTTGGTGCCAGTGAAGTCAGCAGAAATGTTGACCTTGGTGACGAAACAACCACCATGATGTGCAAATTTGTGATTAGAGCGTCAGATGCATCTATTACCAAGGAGATAGATGCAGACCCACAAGGCTGGTTAGACGACCTAACTGATGGGGGTGTCGAGTACATGCCTGAAGATGAAGTGAAGGTGGCTGCTGCTGAGAAGCTAAAGATCTCAATGGAGCGGATAGCATTGCTAAAAGCAGCAAGGCCTCGAAAATCTGCTGAGGTTGAAGAGGACGAGGAAGACAATGAAGATGATGATAAGAAAATAGACAAGAACGGGGAGAAAGATGGTAAACCCAAGGGACCGACAACTTTGTTTAAACTTACAGCTGAGGAGGTTGAACACCGTGCACTTCAAACGGCAGTAATTCAGGAATGGCTCATACTTTGCAAAGACAGGAGTACCAAGGTTAATTGAACACGAATCCTCCCTTCTCTTATCACGAAATTGTTTGCATAAATTCCATTATCAACCATCTTGTCTTGTATTCTAATAACCCATTTAATTGTTTTAGAGATTTTGTCTGAGAGCCTGCAATAGTTGTTGTGTAGCTGATCATCTTTTTGTTTTGATTTCTTTCATTGATTGTGTAGTGTTCCTTAGCCTCCTTACAGAGTTCAACACCATGTAAATTTTGTTTCGTTTTACCATTTCTTTTTTGTTGGTGATGAATGAATGCTATGTTAGCATGTGTTATGAATGTCTATCATTTGTTTCACTTAATAGATCTGTCTCCTCTCTCTTATTAACAATATGCATCGGAATTATCATTCTAGACTTTTAGTTGACAAACTTGCACGGGCAGTTCAATTGGTTATTGAATAATAAATTATGGGTAGGGATAACAATCTATTGTGTGGACCATGAATATCATATACATTTTTAATATATTAAAGGTACATTATTTTTGTATTGAAGGTACATTATATAAAATAATGTACCCTTTGTATATTAGAAATGTACTTTTAAAAGATGTACCTTACGTACATAAATAATGTATTCTTAGCATATTAAAAATGTACTTTTTATATAAACTAAACAAGAGAAACAAGTCAATTTTCCTGTAACGAAATAGAAATTTAATGGAGAGAACGGAAAATTTCTCCGAGCAACGATCATCGGAGGACCTATATCTCTTAGTGCGGAGTACGAAGAAGCATAAACGGAGTGCATCCATGCGCTCAGCGCATGCAGAGACCGGACGAGATGGGGGGCAGCGCATGGAGGAGGTGGACATAGTGCATGAGACGCCGTCCGATGAGATGGTGGTGTTGGCCGATGACACTATTCCGTCTGATCATCTTGGGGAGGCGCCGTCGATGTCTGTGATGGCTGCGGGGGAGCTGAGGAGGACATACGCGGAGAGCGTAACAGGCCGTAATCTGGTTACTCTTGACACGTGTGACGATCCTCAGGAACCAGATGTGGAGGCGATCGATGATGAAGCGGAGGAGGGCGATGACGTAACGGAGGAGGGAGACGACCCACTCTGTCCAACGATCAGATTAACAAGAACAGAGGTGGCGGCGATCCGAGCTCCTTGGAAGAAGGCTTTGATAATCAAGGTGATGGGGCGACGAGTCGGTTACGCGTATCTCCTACGGCGGCTGTCAACAATGTGGAAGCCGAAGGGTAGCATGGATTTGATCGCGATAGCGAACGACTACTTTTTGGTGCGCTTCGGATCGGTGGACGACCTCGAGTTTGCCATGTACGAAGGTCCCTGGATGATCCTGGATCACTACTTGATCGTGAAGCCCTGGGAACCAGACTTTGATCCCTACAACGACAAAACAGAAAAGGTATTGGTTTGGATTCGCGTACCTGATCTACCTGCTGAATACTTTGACTATATCTTTCTCAGGAAATTGGGCAACCGCATTAGAAGAGTCATTAGGGTGGATCAAGCGACTAGTCTGGTGTCTCGGGGCATGTTTGCCAGGATGTGTGTCGAGATTGACATGAGGAAACCCATGGTGTCGAAGTTCACGTACGAGGGAAAGGTCAGACATGTAGCTTACGAAGGTATGCATTTAGTTTGTTTCTCGTGTGGTTTTTATGGACATGCGAAGGATTCCTGCCCAACCTTGAGAAAGAAAGCTAGTACGGAGGGAGGTGAGATGGGAGAAGCCGAGGCAGTGAACGCAGAACAATCGCAACCAGCTCACGCCAAACACCCTCCGAACGTGACATCTGACATGCTGGATCCCAAAGTCCCCTTTGGGACGTGGATGATCGCACCAACTCGCAGGGGAAGGAATTCATCGAAGCAGTCTGCCAGGCCTAACCGAAATAATTTCGACCAGAGGGAGAAAACGAACGTCGAAACTGGCCTGCATGTCCATGCGTCAAAATTTGCACCTTTATTGGAGGAGGAAATTGCAGCAGAGGCGGAAATGGAGAGGGTGACTGGACAGGAGATGGATGGTGAGGGCAACGCAGAGGGACAAACGGTGGATGTGAGACCCTCCCAAAGAGGTTTGAGTTCACGGGTGATACCAAATGTGGATGGGGGAGCAAGACCGCGACGACCGAACGTCATAGCCAGGGAGAAACAGATTGTCAATGAGCCCGCAGTGGCGCAGGGGTCCTCGTCAAATGCAGGGGTATCAATGCCCGGAGTAAGCCGGCACGCAGGGAGTGGTTCGAAGAAGGCAGCAGAGGAAGATGAGCACGTTGTTGTCCGGGGCACACAGGGCGGGCTGGTGATCAGGTCATCGCGGGTGTACGTTGGCGACACTGGCGGGATCGCACCTTCACCGGTCTGGCATCACCCTACGGAGCACCATGGGGACCCCTGGGAGAAGCTGGATGATGAGGGAGATGTTGTCATGCACCTCGGTGGAGTCATGGGCCAGCGCGAGGATGGTGGTAACGGGGTTGCTCTTTGAGCACCCCGAGTGTGGTTTTTTTTTTTTTCTTTGTTTTTTGCGGTTGTGTCTTTTTGGCCTATCTGCCTTCTTTGTTGTTTGATCTTTTTCTGTGCTGTTTGTTTATGAATTACATATTCTGGAATTGTCAGGGTGCGGGTGGTAAGCCGTTTCTTCGCGCCCTTAAACACTTCATTAAGATGCACAAGCCTTGCGTGATAAGCCTTTTTGAACCCAAAGTGTCGGGATCCCACGCAAATGACATTTGCTCAAAGATTGGGTTCTCGGACTGGATTAGAGTTGAAGCAGTCGGCTTTAGTGGTGGCATTTGGGTTTTTTGGAAAGACCCAGTGCGGATATCAGTCCTCCGAACTCACCCCCAGTTTATTCTTATGCAGGTAGTTTTGGGTGGTCACCCACCTTGGTACCTTGCCTCGGTCTACGGTAGTCCGGTGCACTATCTGCGCCGGCGATTGTGGAACGACCTTCGTCAAGCTGAAAATAGCATCACGGGCCCCTGGATTGTTGCGGGGGATTTCAACGCGGTTCTTGATAGTGAAGAGACGAGCAATTATAGATCTTTCTCTTCGCATAGAAGCGCGGACTTCAGAAACTGGATCCAAGACGAGGGACTCATTGACCTGGACTTTTCAGGACCAAAACTCACTTGGGTCAAGAACGAAGCAGCGGAACGTGTCAAAGGCGCTCGGCTGGACCGGGCCTTATGCAACACGGATTGGCGTATCTCTTTCCCAGGTGCGTGCGTTACTCATTTAGTGCGACTTACTTCTGATCACGATCCTTTACTTTTGCAGGTTGAACAACAGCGGCAACGACTATCCACAGCTCCGTTCTCCTTCCAGGCGGCCTGGCTTACCCGCACGGATGTGCATGACGTAGTAGGGAGGGCATGGAATTCAACCAGAGGGTTCGTGGACAATACACTTTTCTTGGCAGGTGAGTTGGCGAAGTGGAACAAGGAGTCTTTCGGGAATGTGTTTCAACGCAAGAAAGTCTTGATGTCCCGAATCAGTGGGGCTCAAAAGGCCTTGGCAGCAACTTACCACAAAGGCCTAGCGAAGCTGGAATTAAAACTCAGGGAGGAACTTGAGCTCATTCTCCATCAAGAAGAGCTCTTTTGGTTTCAGAAGTCTAGGGAAGATTGGATCAAAATCAAAATCCAACTAAAGGACATAAAAAAGGCTTGAAATCAAGCCCGAGCTCGCTTGCGCGGGCACGAATGTCGTCCGGAAATGGGCTGGCCTTGCGGGCTAAGTTATGCCTAACTTCGGTATCATTTTCCATCTGTTATAGTCACTTGGCTCGGCCAAAACCGAGAACACCACTCTCGTGCTACAGAGAGCACGAGAGGTTGTGGTGCATGGCTCGGCCAAAACCGAAAACACCACTCTCATGCTACAGAGAGCACGAGAGGTTGTGGTGCACCGAGAGCAAAACTCTCGTGCAACGGTGAACACGAGAGGTGTACTCTCGTATTGCACCATAGTACGAGAGGTGTACTCTCGTATTGCACCATAGTACGAGAGGTGCACTCTCGTGGTGTACCACAGCACGAGAGTGTGAACTCTCGTGCACCCCAACGGTCTGAAACCCGAAAGTGCAGAAGATTAAACTCATCTGTTACGGAATTAATACTGTTTTAATTCCAATTTTTAAATTCTGAGTTTAATCCTACTTAGTGGTGACCATTACAGGTGTTACACAATTGGTTTTAACACCAATTTAATGGCCATGTTGAATGCTATCACTCCAACATCCCTATATAAAGAGAGGTAGAGCAGTAGCATTTTACACAGTGAGACAAAAAGGAATTCCAGTAGCTTTTCATCTCAAAACTCTGCTTATACTCTCTTCTTTTATCCAACCTGTGTTCTAAGCATTGCTTTGTTTGCCGGGTTCCTTGTTTAGGTGCTTAAACAAGGAATCGTAGCACGTTTTATCCTGGGAAACCTAGACTACAACGCTCCTAGCACTTGTGGGAGGTAGCAAATAAGGTTTTAAGGAAAAGAACCTTGTGTTCGAACTCGTGCTAAACCTATACCCAAACACTCAACCTTTTCCTTCCCAATTCTTTCTGTTTTCCCATATAATATTAATCTTTTCGTAGGATTATTATTTTTTGGGATTTTACAACCATATTACCCAACAATCTTAAAACCTTATATCCGTTTCCCGTTGGTTGTTTATCTCTAATTTCCTAGAAGAAATGGAGAATCCAGTTTTGCCAGCTCTCGGGGAGGAGAATGTTGTTGAGAACAACAGTGGTGGGAATGGCAATAATGTTGCTAATTCCCAGGCTACACCAGTGAACGTTGTTTCACAAGATGGTGGGAGCACCGAGGGATATATTCCCATGACTCGGGTACCTACGGTACCGAGTGGTTCGGCCGAAAGACCGGAGAAATTCACCGGTATTGGATCGAATTTCAAAAGGTGGCAACAAAAGATGTTGTTCTACCTAGCAACTCTCGGCTTGGCGAGATTTTTGACCGAGAAGGTTCCCGAATTAAGGGAACAGGATGCCCAATCCGTGATGGCAGTTGGCTATTGGAAGGATTCGGACTTCCTATGCCGAAACTACATCCTAAACGGATTATGTGATGCGTTATACGATGTATATCGCAAGATTGGCACAGCGAAAGCGCTGTGGGAAGCTTTGGATCATAAATACCGAAGTGAGGATGCCGGCGCAAAGAAATTTGTGGTTGGCCGATTCCTTGACTTCAAAATGGTTGATTCCAAAACCGTGCTAAGTCAGGTTGAAGATTTACAAGTAATCTTTGATGAAATCCGTGACGAAGGCATGACGTTGAGTGAAGCCTTCCTAGTGGGATCTGTTATCCATTTGCTGCCTCCAGGGTGGAAGGACTTCAAGAATTACCTTAAGCATAAGCGAAAGGAAATGAACCTGGAGGACCTGATCCAGCGACTCCGAATTGAGGAGGGAAACAGGACGAATGATGGCAGAAATTCTGTCACTGTTGGCGCTAAAGCCAATGTTGTGGAGCATGCTAAAAACTCCAAGAAGAACAAGAAGGACAAGCAAAAGCTAGGTCCGAAAGGAGGCATTACCAAGAAGAAATTTCATGGAAAATGCTTCAATTGTGGCAAGACTGGCCACAAGTCCTCTGAGTGCAAAGTTCCAAAGAAGAAGAACAAGAGTTCTGAAGCCAACATGGTTGAGGAAAGCAATCAGAAGGAGGCCGAGATTAGCCTTTCGGCTATGGTGACCGAGGTGAACCTCGTGGACTCTAACCCATGAGAGTGGTTCATCGACACTGGTGCAACAAGGCACTTGTGTTGCAACCGAGAAATGTTCAACACCTTTGAGACCGTTGAGGGCGAGAAGGTTTGGATGGGAAACTCTGCTCAGTCTGCTGTGGAAGGCGTGGGCAAGGTGGTTCTGAAGATGACTTCCGGGAAGGAACTGACGTTGAACAATGTGCTGTATGTTCCAGAGCTGAGGAAGAATCTGGTGTCTGGCTCACTGTTGAACAAGCATGGCTTTCGCATGGTGTTCGAGTCAGACAAGGTTGTTTTGTCTAAGTTAGGAATGTTTGTAGGCAAAGGTTATGTAACTGATGGGCTTTTTAAGCTCAATGTAATGCCTATTATCATGAATAAGAGCAAAGTTAATTCCGTTTACTTGCTTGAGTCTTCCAATTTGTGGCATGGTAGACTAGGTCACGTTAATTATAATTCTATACGTAGATTAATTAACATGGACCATATTCCTAATTTTCAAATTAACACAAATAACAAATGTGAAATTTGTGTTGAGGCAAAATTAACGAAAGTACCTTTCAAATCGGTTGAAAGGGAAACTGAACCACTAGAATTAATCCATAGTGATTTGTGCGATTTTAGATCGATACAAACGAGAGGTGGTAATAAATATTTTATCACGTTTATCGACGATAGCACACGTTATTGCTATGTGTATTTGCTTAAAAGCAAAGACGAAGCCTTGGAAAAATTCATTCTTTATAAGAATGAAGTTGAAAACCAACTTAATTGTAAGATTAAGAAAGTTAAAAGAGATCGAGGTGGTGAGTACGAAGCACCTATTGGTGACTTCTGTGCGAGTGTAGGTATAATACACGAGCATACTGCACCTTACTCACCTCAATCGAACGGTGTTGCCGAACGAAAGAATCGTACATTGAAAGATATGATGAATGCGATGCTTATAAGTTTGGGCCTACCTCAAGACGCGTGGGGTGAGGCTATTTTGACAAGTAATTACCTTTTAAATAAGGTACCCCACAAGAAGCTCGATAAGACTCCTTATGAGCTGTGGAACGGTAGGAAACCTTCCTACCAGTACCTGAAAGTGTGGGGGTGTCTTGCCAAAGTTTTGGTGCCAACACCTAAGAAAGTAAAGATAGGTCCTAAGACGGTGGACTGTATCTTTATTGGCTATGCACATAATAGTAGTGCTTATCGGTTCTTAGTACACGAATCCCATAATCCGGACGTACACGAGAACACGATAATAGAATCAAGGAATGCATCTTTCTTTGAAAATGTATTTCCTTGTAGGTCCAATGAGGGACCAAGTTCGTCAAAACGAACATTTGACGAAGCTATTGATAATGATAGTGGGGAATCCGAGAGAGAACCCGAGCTCGAGCCAAGACGCAGTAAGCGGGCGAGAGTTGGAAAATCATTTGGTCCTGATTTTCTAACTTACTTGTTGGAGTACGATTCGAGTACTCTAACTTGTTTATTAGAAAATGAACCCGATTTTCTATCTTGTTTGATAGAAAACGAGCCTCGAACGTACGGAGAAGCCGTGACTTCTACAGAAGGACCAATGTGGAAAGAGGCTATTAAAAGTGAAGTGGATTCTATTTTACAGAATCACACTTGGGAACTTGTTGATCTTCCTCCGGGTAGTAAACCCTTAGGATCCAAGTGGGTCTTTAAAAGGAAGATGAAACCCGATGGTTCCATCGAGAAGTATAAGGCTAGGCTTGTAATCAAGGGTTACAGGCAACGCGAGGGCCTTGATTACTTCGACACGTATTCTCCCGTGACGAGAATAAATTCCATTAGAATGATACTTGCTATAGCCGCACTGCGGAATTTGGAAGTTCATCAAATGGACGTTAAAACCGCTTTCCTAAATGGCGAACTAGATGAGGAAATCTATATGGAACAACCCGAAGGGTTCGTGGTTCCGGGCCAAGAAAGGAAAGTGTGTAAGTTGGTTAAATCGCTATATGGTTTAAAACAAGCGCCTAAGCAATGGCACGAGAAGTTTGACCATGCGATGTTGACTAATGGATTTAAAATAAATGAAAGTGACAAATGTGTCTACGTTAAAGAAACGATAGACGGTTATGTCATTCTTTGTTTATACGTAGATGACATGCTCATCGTTGGTAGTAACGATCGAATGATCAAGTCTACCAAAAACATGTTAAATGCGAGATTTGACATGAAGGATATGGGTTTGGCTGATTTAATCCTCGGATTAGAATCATTAGAAGACCTGATGGTCTGGTGTTAAGCCAATCACATTATATTGATAAAATCCTTGAAAAATTTAACAAGGATAATCATCAAGGGACTAGGACGCCATTAGATCGAAGCGTTCATCTAACCAAGAACCACGGAGAGTGTATTTCTCAAGTAGAATATGCTCGGGTTATTGGTAGTTTGATGTATCTAATGAGCTGTACTAGGCCGGATATTGCCTTTGCGGTTAGTAAACTCAGTAGATATACGAGTAACCCCGGTGCCATGCACTGGACGGCAATAGTGAAGGTTCTGAGATACTTAAGGTATACTCGAGACCTTGGACTGCACTATGGGAGATATCCTGCTGTACTTGAAGGGTATAGCGACGCTAGCTGGATATCTGATATTAAGGACTCCAAGTCCACGAGTGGCTACGTGTTTACACTAGCCGGTGCAGCCGTTGCATGGAAATCCTCTAAACAGACCGTGATAGCTAGATCCACGATGGAATCTGAGCTGATAGCCTTGGACAAATGTTGTGAAGAGGCTGAATGGCTACGCCATTTTTTAGAGGATATTCCAAATTGGGAAAGACCTGTACCTCCAATGTGTGTGCATTGCGATAGTCAAGCTGCAATTGGACGAGTACAGAATCATATGTATAATGGTAAGTCTAGACATGTGCGTCGTAGACATAATACCATTAGACAACTTCTCACAA